TCTCCCTCTGCCTGCCACTCCCCCTGCTTGTGCTCTCTCTCTCTCTAGCAAATAAATAAATAATAAAATCTAAAAAAAAAAAAAAGAAAAGAAACATATAGGATGGTTCCGAGACTCCAATAAGAAAGAGGAATTCTGAAAAGAATGGAGAGAACAGAGAGGTAGATAACCAAGAAAAATAGAAAAACTTTTCCCAAACCTAAAAGAAAGAAATACTTAAATTGAAAATGCCGTAACATCTCAATGAATCACTCCATAGAGTAGTTAGTAACCACTAAGGGAAAAGGGTACATCTATAATGGTGGATCCCTTTTTCCCATTGGAATGAAAGCTTTTGGCAGAAACCAAGCAATCAGTAATACTTAACTAACAATAATGGGACAAAGTGACTTATGAGCTTTCTGATGCACTGCACTAAGAAAGATGCAATATCACTTCTATAATATGCTTGCCGAAAAATGTTTACGCCGAACCTACGCACGCAGAAACAAGAAGACGGATCCAAACTGAAAGACTCTCTATAAAACAACTGGCCTGAACTCTTCATTCAAAAATATTAATGACGTGAAAGACAAAAAGACAAGGGTGCTGTTCTACATAAAAGGAGAATAAAGAAAAAGGACAACCAAATGCAGTGCACAGTCCTTAACCGGAGCCTTCAATTAAAAAAAAAGGCTGGAAAGGGCGCCTGGGTGGCTCAGTTGGTTAAGCAACTGCCTTGGGCTCAGGTCATGATCCCGGGGTCCTGGGATCGAGTCCCACATCGGGCTCCTGGCTCAGCGGGGAGCCTGCTTCTCCCTCTGACCTTCTCCCCTCTCATACTGTTTTTCTCTCTCTCTCTCTCAAATAAATAAATAAAATCTTTTAAAAAAAAAAAGGCTGGAAAAAACATATTGAAACAATTGGGGAAATGTGAATATAATCTATATATTAAATAATAGTATTGTATCAAACTGTATTGAATCATATTTAATCCAAGTTAAATATTTTTTTTGGTGTGATCATTATTTTGAGCTTACAGAGGAAAACATACTTGTTCTTTAGGAGATACATGCTGGAGTATTTAGAATAAAGTGCCATTAATGACTGCAAATTACTCTTAAATGGGTCATTAAAATTATATTTAAATATATAGTTTTATATATAAAAATTATATAATACATATAATCTATATATATAAAACCTATATACATATACATACATATAGAGAGATACAGAGAGAGAAATAAAAGAAAATATAGCTAAATGTTAACAGTTGGTAAAACAAGAATATCTGGGTGTCCACGGTATTACTGCAAGTTTACAGTAGGTTTGCAAATTCTCAAAATAAAAAAAAGGGAGATGAGAGATTGCAAATGCCAACAAAGATTAACACAAAGAGAAGCTACACTTACACTATTTAGGAGCCATCTCAATAATTAAGAATTTAAAGGTAATACCCTAAAAATTTTTCAGAGAGCCGTAAACAGGCTACATACAAATCACTCTGGATATGGGCATTAAGATAAGGACATAGTATCTTCCAAGTTTGAGAGAAACTTACTTTGAAGATAGATTTCTACATCCAGCCAATTAAAATTTAAGCGTGAGCACAAAGAGAGAGAAAGAGAGAAGAAAAAAGTATTTTCGGTTACTTCAAGAGTAAAAAATTTTGCATTCCACAGATATGCTCTGAAATAATTAGTCGAGGATATGCTGCAACAAAATGAAAACTGAATCCAAGAAAGCTAAAGATGTGGAACTCAAGAGATGGTATACAAAGAAATCAGGAGCCATGAATACACAGCATTAGAGATATGAAAGAGTTACAAGAAAAAAGCATATTCAAATTTATATACTATTAAAAATATATTTAATTTGTTAACAAATACATAAGCAAGATAATTTCTAAGAGATGAGTACCATGAAGGCAAATAAACAGACTCTGTACTGGGAAGGGATGAGCCACATAAAGTCATTGCTCTGAGTTCATGAAAGCAATTATTATCTACGTGCAGAGAGAACTTGACCCCACAAATACTCTGGAATTGAAAACCCCTTAAATTCATACTGATCCCTTCTGTCTTTTTAAGATGTTTCAGCCAGAGAAGATACAATATGATCAAAATTCTGCAGAGATTGTGAGAGCTGATAGCACTACACTGCAAGCCCAGCATCCAAGGTTTTTATTTTTGTTCATCTATATTAGCAGAGTTAGAACTAGTCACTGAGAAATGAGGAGAAGGAGGAGATGACTTGGCATTACAAGCTCACAGGTGTGTTTCGGGAATATATGAACAGTTATTTTACTTTGAAAAGGTTATAGAATGATCTTTGTCTTATATAAGTATTATGGAAGTATTACGGGCAGTAAGTATAAACACACTGACTGTGGATTGGATTTTATTTATGCCTTTTCGTGTAAAAAGCATATATATATATATATATATATATATATATATATATATACACACACACACACACACACAAATATGAGGGAGGTAGAGAGAGGACTCCGAGAAACAGTGTGTCCTCCCCTGTCCTCATCTGAATGAAAGCTCTGACCACAGGACAGAGGCTACGATGGCCCCAAGCCAAGCAAAGCCCATAAGTGTATCTTCTTCCTTTCCCCTTTGCTGCCCAAACCATACTGTGTTCCCCAAGGCATTTCTACTCCACAGGAGGACCACGGGAACCATGTGTGCTTTCAGATGGCCCAATCCTTCAGAGTTCTGAGCAGCAGAGGACCGGGTTTAAGGAGCCCCCCACCCCCACCACCCCCGCCTTTTGCTTCTCTCTCAGATCTTAGCCACCCCTGTGGAACTGCATCCTAAGGCGACCCTGCTCAGCAGGGATGGCAGATGGACTGTATTTGTTGCACTCTCCCAGGAAGCGTGATGCAATTGCTTTTAAGAGGTCAGTGCCCTCCAACTGTGAAATGGTAATATTATAAATTATGTGCTTAATTAAATTTCACCCCAACAGTATACCATAAAATTGGAAAAGCAATTCCATCACTCAGGATCAATGAGCATAAAGTACACACAAAAGGATCAAAAGTTCTCATCAGTAAACTTATGTTTGTGCTTTGGCTGAAAATTCAGAGGTCCATTTCTACTATAGGTTGATGAATGGCGTACAGTTAATAACCACTTAATTGCTTGTCTCTTTTTCCTCGTGTTGCTGCCATATAGGTTAGAAATGACAGGGTTGAGATTTTTGCTAGTCTCCTTCAGTCAGGAATCCAAGGAAAAATCTTCCTATTAGACTTTACCATCCTGTTCACAAGTGTCTTTGTTTAATTTTTCTGTTTATATTGAGTTTTTTTCAAGATTTTATTAATTTATTTGAGAGAAGAGAGAGAGCACGAGTGGCTGGGAAGAGTAGAGGGAGAGGGAGAGGGAGCAGCCCATCCGCCACCGAGCGGGGAGCCCAATGCGGGGCTCGATCCCAGGACTCTGAGATCATGACCTGTGCCAAAGGCAGATGCTTGACCAACTGAGACATGCAGCCACCCCTATATTGTTTTTTTTTTTTAACCATGCAAAACACACATCAGGATTAGGGAAACTGAGCTAAGAGGTAACCTGGTGTAGCTGCTATCTCATGAATATTCAATGATAAGGGCTATCACAAATTCTTAACAACTCCTCTATAGGTGCAGCTACGTACTACAAATAACACTGAATAAAAGAGTAAAAGAAACAATCTAGCATCAAACCCAGTACCTGATAGTTGGCTAACACCCAGGAAATGTTTGTAAGTGAATAAATGAATCAAAGAGTGAATGAACAACTGATAAAACTCAGTTCTCCGGCTTCAGAAGCCATTCCCATGATACCAGGACACACCCTTGCAAATGACAATGTTCAAGGCCAAATAAAAGATTAAAAAAAAAAAAGATTTTATTTATTTATTTGACAGAGAGAGACCCAGCAAGAGAGGGAACACAAGCAGGGGGAGTGGGAGAGGGAGAAGCAGGCTTCCTGCAGAGCAGGGAGCCTGATGTGGGGCTCAATCCCAGGACCCTGGGACCATGACCTGAGCCGAAGGCAGACGCTTAACGACTGAGCCACCCAGGTGCCCCCAAATCAAAGATGTTAACAGACGATACCTGGGCCATAGTCTATAACTCCCATTTAATTTCATATGAATTTATTACGGAACCAATTTGGAGATTTGTTTCTGGAAAGTACTGATTTATTCATTTGAGATTAGGCATGGTAAATGCAAGTTTTGGACTGGTAGTGCACTGCTGTGGATGGCTACCCAGTAAGTACATGGCACTTTAGTCGATGGCACTTTATGGTCCCAGCAGAGCCAGTCTGGATCTTGAGGCTGAACTATTTCCTCATAGAAGGATAAACGGAAGGAGGTTGGAAAGCCAAGGAAATGGAAGGCAAGTCCACAATTTCTCCTATTTCCTACATTCTAAGATAATACTTCTTTCCACATACTGGGTCCCAAAACTTCTATTTGTTTAAGGGATATGAATCCAAGACAGTCAATGTCAGAGTCAGAGAGAAGGGCAGGAGCTCCCATTCTTCCTGCTGGGTGTCCCACCTGCTCCTGGCCGTCTTGGTTGTCTTTGAATCAAAGAGCCAAAAAGAAGCTCGATTTCACAGGCTGAAACTCCCCTCTCAAGCTGACCTGATCTACCTCACTAAGAATGGATTATAGAGACCTCGCACTCCATCAAAGACTGAGCCCTTACTTTTACCTTGATCTTGGGTATCTACAAACTGGGATCTACAAACTATCTTTCCCAGAATGTGGTGAAACATGCTACACACACAAGTACATATATTTATATAGCTAGAGATAGAGATATCTATATTCATGTTATTCAGAAACAACTGAATTGGTATTGTATTTAGTATTCAGAAAGTAATTGGGGTTAATGGAGCCTCTAACTCAAAGCACAGACAATCCTTGCAATGATATCTTGGCTATAGAACTTGAATTTATGATTTCTTGTCTTTTTCTCTTTACCAACACCCCCACCACCACCCCCAACTTAGGAAAGGAGCCTGGTGGGGGAACCAAGAGTTTGGATTGCAAAATTGAGGAGAGTACTGAAACACCTGCTCTAGAGGACTCCTCATCATCCCCTGTAGATATTCAGCAACATTCCTGGCAGGTTTCCATAGACATCGAGAACACTGAAAGGTAAGTGGGAAATTACCCTAAATAGACTTCCAGCATTCCTCCAGCTAATACTCTTAAGGGCTATAAAAGTTGAGATTTTTCTCTTTCAGATTCAGCTTTTGTCTTTCAGATTCAGATTTTAGAAATCTCAGAAAATTGAGGCAACAGAAGGTAAGGAGTCCAAACCCTGCAGTAGAATGTTAGCAGAATTTCCAGTAGTCACAGGCTCCCAAGCCTCTTTTTATCCCACTCTACCACACTGTGTCTCCATGGAAATGAAAACTGTGTGCTTCCTTGGGAAGGGAGAAAGTTGAATCTATATACCATCACAGCTCACCCACTGGGCTAGGGACCAATATTTCCATTTGTTTAAAGGAGAAGAATCCAAAATCATGCAAAGATGTCAACAGTAGATTCTTGCATTTCAGGTGTATGGAATGGCCTGCTGAGCTGTCAGTCAGAGGCTAAGCATTCTGTCCAGTTGACAGCTTTTCATAGAGCTCCGTTCTCTTGCTTTCCCAGAATGTAGCTGATGGCCCCTTAGTGATCAAAGCAAGTTAATGCATTTATCTTAACAAGCAGTAAGCTCACTGATAGAGAGGGAGTTTCCTTCTTGAGAAGAAGTGATTCTACAGTGATTCAATTTCATTTGGGGAAAGGAAGCAATAATAATATAGTAATACATGCCATGGCTCATCTAGATGCTAAAAATGCCATTCTGTGGGGCAGGAAGATGAGGCCCTTGTTTATTGGCCTTCACAGTGATCTCATGTCCTTTGCTACTAATGTCCCTAGAGCTGACACAAAGCAGTTGAATGAATACTGGGCAATTCCACTGAGTGCTTTGTGTGGAGTTGAATCATTGACAAGATAATGAACATTTTATTTTTTTATTTTTAGAAATGTAACACACAATGGCATTTACAGCCATTGTGGTTCTACTTTCATATTGTAATATAATTCTAAAGCTAATTACTGAATTTCTGTGTTTATAGAAAATTGAAGCATGTGGTAATTATGTGCTATTAATAAAACTTGGATTTTGTATAAGCTTGGAAATCTAACAATTCAAACAATAAAGCTGTTTGGCACGGTCTGATACAGCTATAGACAAATGGTGAGGGAATGATTTATCTTAATTTATGAAATAGAAAATGCTTTGCTCTCTTCCCAGGAAGAAATATCTGCCAGAGTGCCATGATCAGGGCATAATCCATCAGCAAGGCCATTTTCCGTTTCAGGCACCTTGCACAGCAACTATATCTAAGCCTTTTGAGCTTGTAAGAAAGCAAGCTATGGCTGGCAATAAAAATAAGAGAGGGTGCAGTTAGGTTCAAGATAGTGTCATAAGATGTGAACTCGCTCCCTCCCATGGGTCCAACAAATATACAGTAATAATTTCCTCTGAAAAAGACCAGCAGATTGGCAGGGCCTCCACAACAAAAGACAAAAAGGACGGCACTGAGATAGGTAGGAGAAGCAAGCACCCTGCCTTGCCAGAAAAGACTCCACCATAAGTGCTGGGATCCACAATTAGGAAGGGTCTCAAAAGTACAGAATTTTTTCCTAAGAAGTGAGGGGTCTGTGCTCCACATCAGGCTTCCAACCCTTAGACCCTGCATGAGAGATAGGAGACCCCCTACATGCCAGACTTTGAAAGCCAATGAGGACTATATCCAGGATAACTAGGAAACTGAACGGAATGGAGAACCCACTCTTAAGGACTCATGCACAGATTTGCTTGTGCTGGAACCCAGCACAAAAACATGAATTTGAAAAGTTCCTAGATTGTATGTGAAGGAAACCAACTTACTAATCTTAAAGCACTTGCCAGAGAGGCAGGAAAATGTTGGGACCTTATATAGGCACAGACAATGGCAGCCACTATATATGTGACCTCTTCCTACCTTGCTAAGTTTGGTGCTGGTGGACACCATTTGGGAACTATCCCTCTAACCTATTAGAGCTGGTGGGCATGCTCAGGTGAGAATCCCACACACCATCAGAGCAAAACTACATGTCACAGCCAGACCAAGGGCCAATCCCACCCACCCCCATTCCACAGATACAATCCTGCCACAGCAGATGGGTGTGTGCAGCCCATATTGAGGATAATCCTTGAGCGCCTAGTTCTGGTGGTCAGGGGACATTGCATATCTGGGTTCCACATGACCTCTCCTGCCCAAAGACATTCTTCCAATATTGGAAGGGGTAGTGAATTTGACTAATACATACAAACAAACACAGAGAATAAGACAAAGTGTTTCAACAAAACATTATGTTTCAAACAAAAAAACAAGATAAAATATCAGAGAAAAATATTAATGAAACAGACATAAGCAACCTATCTGATAAGGAGTTTAAAGTAATGGTCATAAAGATGCTCAGTGAACTCAGGAGAAGAATGGATGAATATGGAAATCCTCAACAAAGAGACAGTAAATATAAGAAAGTTCTGAAGAGTAGTTACAGAGCCAAAGAATACAATAACTAAACTGAAAAGTATACTAACGGGGTCCAAGAGCAGACTGGATAAAGCCAAAAATCTGATCAGCAAGCTAGAAGAGAAAGCAACAGAAGTCACCTGAGCAGAAGAGCAAAAAGAAAAAAGAATTGTGGAGAATGAAGATAATTTAAGGGACCTCTGAGACATCAAGTGGAATAATGTTTGCCTTATAGAGATTCCAGAAAGGGAAGATAGAGAAAAAAGGCCAGATGACTTATTTGAAGAAATAATAGTTGAAAACTTTTCTAATCTGGGGAAGAAATCCAGGTTTAAGAAGCACAGAAAGTCCTGAACAAAACGAACCAGAGAGATCCACAAAAAGAGATGCTAGAATTAAAATGGTAATTTTAATAATAATTAAAATGATAAAAGTTAAAGAAAGAATCTTAAAAGCAGCAAGAGAAACCCCATAAGTATGCCAGCAGATTTTTCAACAGAAATCTTGCAATCCAAAAGAAGGTGGCATAATATATTCAAAGTGCTAAAAGGAAAAAAATTCACCAAGAATTCTCAGCAAGTTATCATTCAAAATTGAGGGAGTGGGGATCCTGGGTGGTTCAGCTGGTTGAGTGTCCGACTCTTGATCTAGGCTCAGGTCTTGACCTTGGGTTCATGGGTTCAGGCCCCACATTGGGCTCTGCACTCAGTGTGGAGCCTACTTAAAAAAAAAAAAAAAAAAAAATGAGGGCGAGATCAAGAGTTTTCCAGATAAGCCAAAGCTATAAAGGAGCTTATCACCACTAACCCAGCATCACAATAAATGTTAAAGGGACTTCTCTAAACTGAAAGAAATGGCACTAATTAATAACAAGGAAATATATATGAAATCCTCCTGGAAAAGGTAAACATATAGTAAAAGTAGTGAATCAATCACTTATAAAGCAACTATGAAGGTTTAAAGACAAAAATAATACAGTTAACTCTGAAAAAGAAACTGAGGGTTCTAGAGGGGAGGAGGGTAGGGGGATGGGTTAGCCTGGTGATGGGTATTAAAGAGGGCACATTCTGCATGGAGCACTGGGTGTTATGCACAAACAATGAATCAGGGAACACTACATCAAAAACTAATGATGTAATATATGGTGATTAACATAACAATAAAAAATTAAATAATAATAACACAGTTAACTGAAACTACAAGAATTAAAGAATGCATAAAATTAAGACATAAAATGTGACATCAAAAACATAAAATAGCAGGGGTAGAAGAAATGTAAAGTTTTGGAATGTTACTATTAACTCAAAACAGACCATTATATACATAGGAACTTACATGTGAACTTTATGGCAAGCCACAAAGCAAAAACTTACCATAAAAACACAAAGAAGGGGTGCCTAGGTGGCTCAGTCAGTTAAGCATCTGCCTTAGGCTCGGGTCATGATCCCAGGGTCCTGGGATCGAGCCCCACATAGGGCTACCTGCTCAGTGGGGAGCCTGCTTCTCCCTCTCCCTCTCTCCCTGCTTGTGCTCTCTCTGTCTCCCTCTCTCTCAAATGAATAAATAAAATCTTTGGGAAAACACACACACACACACACACACACACACAAAAGAAAACGAGAAGAGAATCTAAACAAAACACTAAAGAGAGCCATCAAACCACAAGGTAAGACAGAAAAAAAGAGAGGAATTACAAAAACAGCCAGAAAACAATCAACAAAATGGCAATAATTACTTACCTATAGTTACTTCAAATGTAAATGGACTAAATGTTCCAATCAAAAGACATAGAGTGGCTGAAGGGATACGTAAAAATAAGACCCATCTGTATGCTACCTACAACAGACTCATTTCAGGACACACACAGACTGAACTCGAAGGGATTAACAAAGATATTTCATGCAAATGGAAATGAATAGAAAGCTGGTGTAGGAATATTCATAACAAAGTAGACTTTAAAACAAAGACTGTAATAATAGACAAAGAAGGGCATTACATAATGTAAAAGGGTCAATCCAACAAAAAGACATACCACTTTTAAATATCAAGTATCTTTTCTGACTACAGTGGTATGAAACCAGAAATCAATTACAAAAAGAAAGCTGGAAAAAAACACAAAAATGTGGAGATAAAACAACATGTTTCTAAACAACCAACGGGTCATCAAAGATGTCAATGAAGAAATTAAAAAAAAAAAAAAAAACCTAGAGACTAATGAAAACAGAATTATGACATACCAAAATCTGTGGGATGTAGCAAAAGTGATCTAAGAGGGAAAGTCATAGCAGACTTACCTCCATAAGCAAGAAAAATCTCAAATAATCAATCTAACTTTACACCTACAGGATCTAGGGGAAAAAAAAAAAAAAACAAAGCCCAAATTCAGTAGAAAGAAGGAAATAATAAATACAGAGTGGAAAGAAATGAAAAAGAGACCTAAAAATCAATAGAAAAGATCAATAAAACTAAGAGCTGGTTCTTTGAAAAGATAAAAGAAACTCAAAAACCTTTATCTAGACTAGAGAAGTCTAGACTAGACCAAGAAAAAAGAGAGAAGGTTCTAATAAATAAAATCAG